TCAGATGCATTGGCAACTGGTTCCGAATACGTGAGATTGTGTGCGCACATGAGCCATGAAGGAATTTGCTATTATATGAAGTTTGTACAACGCAGAAGGCACAGAAGTGTTGCAAATGCTGAATCCATGTTCACCGGATGAGAAGTAGACGTAAACTATCGGCTTTGAGGCAAATTTAACCTGTTAAATGCAATTTAACTGTTGTGTGTAATTATATGCAGTATGGCGTGATTCCAAAAGTAGCAAAAGTCGAAAATTGTTTCTCCTGACTCCGTATAAAAAAATCAAGTGCAGTTTTAGACATTTTAATATGTTTCTAGTCATTTTAACGGCCAGTGAAGATATAATTGACTAAAACAGTCATTGGTGTCCAAAGCGTTTTTTTTATTAGTTTGCATCTTATTATGGCGTCATAGTACTTTAACCGCAATTCGGCTGGTGGTCATCTTTTGATAGTCAAAAGTCCCAAAGAAATAAAACCCAAATCGTAAAGAACCATCTTTCAAGTCTTCTTGGTAGTGTTATTGTAAACTTTTAGACACTACCACATATATTCTTGCCAAGCTATTCTAGGCCAACTTCGCCTTAATTTCAAAAGGCCGAAGATGTCTTCTCTTAATAGGGACGTGACTCCTCCAAGAATAACATGAGACAAAACCATCACTTTGTCTCGATAATAAAAGTCCAACTCAATATTTCTCTAGCTAGAAAAGTACTTCCGTTACATTTTTGTTCGCATGACAAATGCCCGAAAAGTGCATAATTTTAGGATCGCGCTTGGTGAAATTTGGGCTATTTACCCCCGGAAATGTTAAAACAAATTATTCCCGTTGAAGTGCATATTTAAAAAATCTAACCCTATTTCCGTTTGTCTACTTGATAAGGCTACCCACAGGCAAAATATGAAACAAATCGAGTTTTGACCGTGTCCGCGACTTTTTCGAAAATCTATGATTTTTACTGACATTTGCTCTTAAATTCGACCGTACTGGTTTCGACGCATAAAACCACGCTACGATTTACGTCAACGGAACGACGAATGGAATTAAATTCGTCTGAATTAAATTCGACTGTAGCGCGACGTATAAACTAGGCCTAATTAGGCTCAAAAAATGTAATTCAATTTCCATGGCTTTAAATTGTGACTGTTTAGTGCTTATTAATCATTAAATAAAATGACGTTTTTGCCTGCGTGTTGAGGACTTCTCATCCTGTTTCTTACTATAATTATAGTCAGTGATGCCTATTAAGATAGCGAACTGCTTACAGGTTTAAGATCACTGTCACGGTTCCCATGTCGTTTTAATATTCTCTATTCTAAACAGTGCTTTGCAATTTTTTTTACTCATTCCTAGCACTTTGACATCCGTCTTTCCTTTCCCTAAACCATACCAGTGTTGTATTTAATTTCTTTCTTTTCCTAGTGATCTTATCTCAATATGTAAGGTTGCATAACCCTTTTGAATGATGGCGCTGAAAGGTCATCGTTAGTCCGAACGTGTTAGTAAGAAACGAAGTAACTTTTCGAGAAATTCGTGATATGACATGAACAGGTAATAACCAACCAAATGAAATCAATTTCCATATATTCACATGGCGGAGGAAGTATTGGAAACCCAAGTCCTGCGTCTTGAAAATTAAAATTTGAAACATTTTGGAAATAGTATAAGTTATGTTCGATAAATTCCGACATTTTGAGATTTTTCATAGACAACCGGGACTAACAATATAGCAATATTAGTAATATAGATAAAGAAAAAATTTTCACCAAATATCAAGGGCTCCTTGTCACAGCTCTTCTAGTTTAGTTTGTGATGGAAACGTTACGCTGGTTTCCTCTGTCAAAGAACTTTATGGCAAGTACAGAGTACAAGTTATGGCCTCGAAGAAGGTAAGTATAAATCCATTGTTGATAAATGCACGCTAGTATTAATCCAATGGTGTTATTGTTATGATAAGTGGGTTGTAAGTCACGTGATCTCATGCATCACGTGCAGTGTGAAACTACTGAATAAACAAACTGAAGAAAAGTTGAACTCATAACATGGTACTAGGATCTCTTTCAAAGAAACTTTCTAACTCCTAACTCCGACATGGAACGTATTAAACCTCCCTCAGAATTGGATATTGATAGTCTCAATCTCGCAGATATATGGAAGGAATGGAAAGAAGCGTGGGAATTGTATCGGATATCGAGTGGCCTTCACGAAAAGGACGATGCCATACAGATAGCAACGATCTTAAGTATTCTCAGGACCAAAGCAAGACGAGTGCTCAAAACTCTACCAAATATTCCCGAAGATATCACGCGAAGGACTGTTGGAGGTATCTTAACAGCGCTGGAAACGTATTGTGTTCCTCGGAAGAATACAACCTACGAACGATACGTCTTCAGAACGACCACCCAAGAAGACCGCTCGTTTGACATATTTCTCACAGATCTCAGAAAAAGAGCTGAATACTGCGATTTCGGAGCAATAAGGATTCTTCTGATACGAGA